CGGTCGCGGGCTGCCCGGTCCCCTTGACGCCGCCGGCAGCGCCAAAACCGCCGCCCCCGAAGGCGCCGCCGGCGGCCGCGCCAAAAGCGGGGGTGGCGGCGGGGGCGCCGAAAGGTGCGGCCGCCGGCGCCCCGAAGGGGGAGGTCGCTGCCGCCCCAAACGCCGCGGGAGCCGGCGCGCCGAACGGGGACGCCGCCGGCGCCGCAGCGCCAAAGGGGGAGGTGGCGGCGGCGGCGGCGCCGAAGGGGGAGGCGGCCTTGGGTGCGAACGGGTTGGCTGCTGCGGCCGCGGGCGCGCCGAAGCCGGGCGCGCCGAACAGAGGCGGCTTGGCGGCGGCGGCGCCGAACGCGAGGCCTGTGCTGCCGCCCGAGCCAAACGGAGTCGATGCGGCGCCGAAGCCAGCCGCCGGCGCAGGCGCAGGCGCCCCGAACAGCGACGGCGCCGCCGCCGCCCCAAACGCCCCCGCCGCCGGCGCCGCCGCCCCAAACGCCCCCGCTGCCGGCGCGGGGGCTCCGAAGGGCGTCGTGGCAGCAGCGGGTGCACCGAACAGGGAGGGGGCGGCGGCGGGCGCGCCGAAGGCGCCCGCCGCAGGCGCGCCGAACCCGCCCCCGAACGGCGTGGCCGTCGGCGCAGCTGGCGCTCCTCCAAACGCCGGCGCGGCGGGCGAGGCGCCAAAGCCTCCAAAGGCGCCAGCGGCGGGTGCTGGCGCGCCAAAGGGCGACGGCGACGGCGCGGCAGCGCCGAAAGGGGTGCCAAACATGCTGCCGGAGCGACCCGAGAGCGTCGAGGCCGTGCACAAGCAACCGTCTGCAGACGTGGATCGGAACCGGCGGACGGTCAGCTGCGGCAGAGCGTTTGGGCACTTGCGAGCGGCGCGCCGCTGGCCGGGTGGGCGGTGGCGGTTGTCTTGGGGCGCGGGAAGGCGCGGATCTTGGGGCGCGGGAAAGCGCGGGGCGCAGCAGTGGCGGCGGCAAAGGCGGCAGCCAAAAAGGCGGCGGCGCAGTGTGTGTGTGTGTGTCTGGTGCGATCGGCGGCGGCGGCAACCGCCGCGGCAGTGGAGCGGGCGGCGGCTGCGCGAGGCGCGGCTGCTAGAAGGGTTATGCATGGGGTTGGGGGGGGTCAGCAGGAAATGGCGGGGCGAAGCAGCGTGTACCCACCGGCAACACGAGCCCCCGAGCGCGGTGTGCACGAATTTTCTTTTTAAGATACAAGGCTCTCTCGCCCGCGGCGTGGCGTGCGCGGCGCTGCGCACCGCTCTGCGAGCGCTTCTGCGCTGCTTTGAGTAGAGTCCACTGTATATGAGCTGCTGCCTCGCTGATGCGAGTTGACATATCCGGTGGTGTGCGAGCGTTCCGTTCGTGCGTCGACTGGCTCCCGGTTCGAGTCGCCGGGGGGGAGGGGGGGGCCTCCTCGGCCGCCTCGGCCGCCGCCTCGGCCGCCTCGGCCGCCTCGGCCGCCTCGGCCGCCTCGGCTGCTTGGCGCACGCGGCGCGCGAGCCGCGCCGCGCTGCCTTTTTGCTCGCTGCCTCCGTTGTCGGCTCGGCCGTTCCGTCTCCTCGCTCTGGCTCGGGCCGTGGGCGTGCTGCTGCTGCTGCTTGGCACTGTTGTCGCCATTTTCAATATCTCTCTCTCTGCTCTCTCTCTCTCTGCTCTCTCTCTCTCTCTGGCTGTGTCTATCTCTCTCTCCCCTTCCTCTCTCTCTCTCTCTCTCTCTCTCTCTCTCTCTCTCTCTCTCTCTCTCTCTCTCTCTCCCCACCGCGGGCCAGCTGCACGCATGCTCGGTGACATCTCTTCACCTTCACACTGGTCGAGTCATAGGTGACGCGAGGGCGCTCACTTAATTGATTAATTCACTCATTAATTCCTTAATTGCGTACCGTATTCCGGGTAATCTTAATTATTAATCATCGGGCGGGGCGCGGCGCGGCGGCTGCGCGAGGCGGCGGCGCGGCGCGGCGGCGGGCGGCGCGGAGCGGGGCGGCGCGACCATCAGCAGACGCCCGGGCCTTTGGTCGCTGGAGCTCGGCAATGGTCGCGCCGCCCTCGACTCACGGGGCTGCCTCGCCCTGTATCCCTTCTCCTTGCGGTGGCTCCTGTATGAGTCCCCATATGACCATGTGATTTCTTGGCCTTCCTTGACTCCCCTCTCTGCAAACAGGACCATCACCTGCGCAGCTGCCTTGCCTAATTGTATCTCCTCGTAGCGTACGAAGTGCGTCGCCCTCGTGCCTCGTTTCGGCTCATTCGATGCTGCAGGCCAATCGAAGTTACAGCGCGCCGCGACGCTGTCAAAGTCGTCCTCGCTCTCGTCGTCACTTCCATCCAGCTGCGTCCCCCCTGCTGCCGTGTGTCGTGATAGTTCGTCTGGTACTGTCTCTGGTGGCCGCGCCGTTCCTGTCCGGAAGATCTCCCCAGTGTAGATGCTACACACCTCAAATTTCTCTAGCCTCCTCGTCGCCAGTAGGCCGAGTTCCCCTTCCGCTATGCTAGAGGGGCCTACCTTCGCCCCTTCCACCGTGCCGCCCGTCGTTAGCATGGCCGTCGTTACTTTCGCCGCCGCCTCTGCTGCTTGTCGGCGGAGCGCCTCGCGCCTTCCCTCGTCTCCATGCTCCTGGTCTTGTTCTTTTTGTTTTCCTGCGCTTCCTGTCGCTGGTCCGGCGACGTATCTTGCCGTCTGCCTTCGCTTCCTGGCGGGCCGCGTTTCCTTCCCCTCGTCCCGTCTGTTTTCTCCTGCGTGGTCGCCCTCGCGTGCGCCGCTCGCCGTCTGTTCTCCTCTCTGCTTGCCGTCCTCGTCCCCTCGCTGTCGTCGCTTCCCTCCGGCGCTCGCCGCATCGTCGTTCCTATCACCGCGTTTCCTGCGCTGGCCTTCGCCTTCGAGCTCGCAGTGAGGGTGGACGCAGGACGGCGAGCACTCTCTGAACCGGAACGCGATAAACACAAAACTCCCAGATCAGAGCAGGACGAGCCGGTAATTTGCACATACCACTTCTATCTACAAGCCGAAATTCCGCTCGCCTAATAGACCGGCTGACCCATGGGCGGCGTCGCCCCGGCCGCTGGCTGCGCGACCGCAGTGGCAACCGCGTTGGCGGGCGCGGAGACTGCGGTGGCGACAGGGGTAACGCCTGCCGGTGCGGCGACGGCGGTGGCGACGGCGCCTGCCGGTGCGGCGACGGCGGTGGCGACGGGCGGTCCGCTGGGGGCGACGGCGGTCGCGACGGGCGGCGAGGCCGCGGCCGCTCTGCCAGTCACGCGCGTCTGCCACGCCGCCTGCACCGCGGTGGCCGCCATGTGGTCCTTTGGATCGCTGCCGATGACGGCGGTGGCGGTCGCGACCGGCGCCGCCGCGACGGCGGCGACGCCCCCGCATCGCGAGCGCAGCGCCGCGAAGATGGATCGCTTCTCGGCGAGCACGTCCGCCTCGATGCGCTGCAGCGTCGCCGCCGCGTTGGCTGCCTCTTGCCGGACGGCCTGCAGCAGCGCGTTGACCCGCGCCTCCTGCTGTGCGGTGAGCTGCTCGCACTGCGCGAGGACGCCGATGTTGCGCTGGATGCGGCCGCCCGCCTGCATCCCCGCCACCGCGTCGCCAAAGTCGCCTCCGAAGATCTCCATCATGGCGGTGCCGGCGCCGTTCTGCTCGAGGCGAGGCATCACGACGTGGCCGATGCCGGCGGCGAGTTGCGGGTAGCGCGCGGCGGCGGCGGGCGGCACCGACTGCAGCGCGCGCGTGAGCACCACCCCCGCCTGGTGCGCCTCCATCTGCGCTTGCTGCATCAGCTGATCGCGGTGTCCCTGCTGCATGTGCTCGATGAACTCGGAGCCGTCGAGCACATTGTTGAACTGCGCGCCCTGGTTGGTCTGGTGCGCGCGCTGCAGCGCGTTGATGGCGGAGTAGTACCGCTGCCGCGCTGCCGCGCAGCCGCGCGACGCCTCCACCAGCGCCGCCGCCAGCGCCTGCTCCTGGCCAAGCGCCGCCTGCCACTCGGCCGCCGATTTGCCGAGGGAGTGGAGATGTGGAGTCGGCGCGCCGGCGACGGCCGACTCAAACATGCCCGCCGCCTCGGTCTCGAGCGCGCGGCGCCGCGCCACCGCGCCCTGCAGGGCCTGCGCCTGCGCCTTGAGGTCCTCGATCGTCTGCTCCAGCGCCGCCTCGCGCGACTGCAATGACGGCGCGGAAGCGCGGTCGGCCTCGAGCTTCGCCTTCTGCCTCGCAATCTTGGCGCTCACGCCACCGTAAACCCACGTCTGGGGCTGCAGCGCGGTGGTGCCGTAGAACCAGCTGTTCTCGCACCGGTCGATGCGCCGTTCGCGCTGCGCCTGCTTCCGCTGGTTGGCCACGCGCTGGCTCTCGGCGCTGCGCTCGGCGCTCGTGACCGATCGCAAGTTCTGCTGCGTCTCTGAGAGGGCGCCGTCCGCGTAAAGGAGCGACTGGGCCTCGGCCGAAAGCGCGTCGTGGCGGGAGAAGAAGCCGGCGTCGACCATCAAGCTCTAGACTCTCAACTTCCTTGGGCACGAGGCGCGTTTGGGCTGTTTTCACGGTGCCTCGCTGCCTTGAAGCTGGGAGGATGTATGGAGGAATGGTAATGACCTCTCCGGATTGGTTGAGCCCCGGCATCGATGGCGGGAAGAGGGAGGATCCCCGCCCCTATCCCTCAGTTTAATCCCCGAGAGGAGAGGCAGAGCCTCTGGCGCGGTGAGACCACCCGTACGCTCTCAAGGCCGACCCCCCCTCTCCAGTTCAGATCACGACCCCCTCGGAGGGGGCCGGGCGAGGCGTACCCCGAGGGCCCCGCTCTTTCCCGGCAGCGGCGCGCGCGCGCGCACACACACAAAGACGCTGCCCCCTCACACCCCGCACCGCACATCACACACCCCTCGTGGCCGTTCTTCAGTCTGCGGCCAGGGCGCGCTGCACCGGGCCAACCTGCGGCCGTCGCCACGTGCGGCGGGGCTCACCGCGGGGCAGCGCGCCGACGACGTCGAATGCGCCGCCGTGGCATCGCGGCGCCGACGACCAGGCTCAGAGGATGACCCCGGGTAAGCGTTCCCGTGCCTCGACAATTGCCGCTGGTAGGCGCGCCGCGCCGAACCATGGCGGGCGCGCCGCGGCCGCGCGCAACCCTCGTCACAATGCCAACCGCGCGCGGCCGTCGACCGGCAAGCACACGCCTCGACTCGGACACAGTGTTCCGAGGGCAAGGGAGAGGGGCTGGCTCCTAGCCCGAGAGGAGAGCTTCCGAGACCCACTACAAGACCACGCACGCATCATCCCGCGGCCTGGCGGTCGGCGGGATTGCAACCAGTCTTCGCGTGCCGCCTGTCGTTCGCTCGGGCGCCTTGGGCGTCGGGGTGGCGAGCAGGTGACGCAGCTCTGAGCGCCCAGCGACGCGTGCCGGATGGAGTCCGGCCGCGGGTGACTAGGGAAGTTCGCTCAGGATGTGTGGCAGTCAGTTCGGCTGAGTGTCTTGTCTTGTGGTTCTGTGTGTCGCTCCTGTGTGACCGTCATCGCCCGTCTAGCGTCCACCCATACCGCGTTGGTGTCCCAGTCGTTGGTCGGACTGTGTTTCGCCTTCCCATCAATCAATCAATCACTGCCTCGCATGCCGGTTAAGATCTCGTGCGAAACTCTTTTTCCCACCTTCAAGTACACCCGCAAGACCGGATACTCCTTTCCTCTTCAATTTTTTCTGCACCAGGCGCGCCCAAACCTGACCTTTCACTCTCCCGGCCTCGCGAGGAGGCAGGAGTAGGATCCTAGCTGTAGATGGAGAGAGAACAATACCGGAGGGAGAAATTGAAAGAGGGATGAGGTCGATGATTATCACCCGTAAAAACCCACCGAAGCGCTCTCGACGGCCAAGTTCGGCATGCCAACGGGCGAGGTGCGGAATCATACTCCAACTGTATTCTGCTTTGCTGTGGTACTCGAGAGAGAGACTCCGCTCGTTCCATTCCTATCGACGCAGCTAAGCCAGTGTGATGAACATCGGCTCGTCAGCTCAAGTTCAAATGAGAAAATGCGCATGGTTGGCCTCTTCAGCTCGCATGCTACCAACGGCAAGTACAAGAACACACCGCAGCTCATCACTGCGTGGGGTTTCGTCCTCCGACTGTCTCGCTTCGGCACAGCTGCTGCAGCGTTTGACTGGTACGTGAAGGTTGATGCCGACACGTTGCTACGTCCGACGGTCCTGCGCATCATCCTCAGAAGGTATTTGCCAAGCGAGGCGCTGGCCATTGGCAATGTGCCCAAGGGACTAGCACATCCCGCCCTGTTAGGGCCGCTCCAAGTGATCTCACGCAAAGCAGCAGCACGCATGGTAAGCGCAGGGCTGGCGAGGTGGAAGTCATTCTACCACCCACAGGAGGATGTCTGGCTGTTCAACCTCCTCACCGCCTTGAATGTCACCCTCAAAGTAGATATTTGCATCCGTGGGTGTTTCCCACTTGGGACAAGCCGTCGCTCCCCCTGAGCCACTGCTCGTGCAAAATCCGCCAGAAAGAGACACCGCAGCCGTGCAGACAAGGGTCGCCCTTGGAAATGGTCTACACCTTTCAACGCCAGAAAGTGAGCGCCAGCAGCGGCGGCTACCAGTGGGATAATCTGACGGCTTTTGCCGTCAAGGGGCACTTGCATGCCGAGAATGTCAATGCCTTCCTGATTCCATTCCATCCTAGGCACTGGGACCATTGTGTATCCGTTGATGCGCCAGCCTACCACGCCCTCAAGACACCGCAGGATTTTCAAACACTACTGATGGCGCTCGCACTGTGGAGTAGCTTTTCCCAGTTGGAGTTGAACGCCACGCTCACCACAAGACATAGGTACTGAATGGTCCAGGAAGATACCACTTAGCCCTCCCATCCCTCCTTCGGCTTGTCTATTTTCTTTCTTTACACGGCAGACAAGACGCAGGCGGCGTCGGCTTCCTTAGAAGCCGTCGCCCCCTCGCCATCGAGAAAGTCGTCCTCAGGCAGATGATCGAATCCGCCAACACCGTAGTGCTTGCTCGCCGACACAACCGCCATCATCCCCATAGGGCACCCACTCCCCGTCGTCCAGCGAGGCTGGCCCTTGTATGCCACCAGAGCGGCGCACCGCCTGGCCATTGGCCATTTGCCACCTGCCCCGTTCGTCTTCGTGGAGCCCATTGCTTGCGGCAATACGCGTCACTGGCGATGTGCGCCTCCTCCGCTGCCTTCAGGTCTGATCCTGGGAAGTCGTCGTTGAGAGCCCGTGTCACGTAAGGAAGAGTCAGCGCGCGCAGCAGGCTCCGCGTCGCGTCAGGGCTGTCTGTCCGCTGAAAGGGCAGCCGCGCATGAGATCAGGCAGATGCCCCTCCCACTTGGCCCTACGGAGGCATCCTCGAAGAGCTCCCCTCCGTCTATGTTCCACTTCCACGTCAGTTCCACGTGAACGCCGCCCCGGCCTCATCCTCCTCCGCCCCGCTCTTCGTCGCCGCGGCCCTGCCCGCAACGCTATGGCACAATGCGCCGATGCGCTCGGCTCTCCATCTCTGTGCCTCACCGCGTCGCGGCGGAGGCGGCGAGCACCTCGTGTGCCTGCGGCCCCCGCGTCCGCCGCCACCACGTAGTCCTCGTATTCCACTTGTGGCGGGTGTCCGGGGCCAGCGGCAGCCAGCGGCAGTCAGCGGCAGTCAGCGGCAGTCAGCGGCAGTCAGCGGCAGCGAACGCAGTGCCACGGCACTCCCCCCCAATCTTCTGGTTCCACTTCCTAGATGTAACCTCAAAGGGTTCCAACAGCTGTGCATCCTGCAGCTGGTACTCGCCCACCTGGTAGAGGTGCAGCTTGGTGCACGGGTGGGTCGTCGCCGCGCGCAGCTCCTCCACCGTCTGCTTGCTCGCCTTCTTGCTCGCCTTCTCGCCCGCCTTCCGCTGCTGTGCCGCGCGCTTGCCCATCGGGCATCGCCGCGCTCGCGTGCGCTGCGGCCTGCCCCGCCGCCCTCCCAGCCAGCTCGGCCGCCTGCTTCATCCCGCCGCCGCCGCCGTCGAAGAGGGACATCACGTGGTGCGTCGCCAGCCGCCAGTGTACTGCTACTCACTGCCGGCTCGACCCCACGATAGCCTCCGACGCTGACTTTGAGGCACAATCATCGGACGATGTCGACGAGCTGGGTCGCTCTCGCGCCTCGCGGTAGCCAGATGACCTCTCATACTACGGCTCTACTTAACTAGGAGCATCGGCCATGGCCGCAGGGAGCGCGGGGGGGAGGGCGCTGGGAGCAACACGGAGCTCCGCTGGACGCGTTTTGAAGATTGAAGATGAAGATAGCGTACTGCGTACGTACATGTCAGAGCGAATTGGAACATAGCTCCTCGGCTCTCTCTCTTCCCACACCCGTAATTTGCATATCCCCCTAACACAGCTCACCATCGACAAGAGCGTCGCCCCTGCCCCCCCCTCCCCCCCCCCCCGTTATGGCCTCTTGGCGGCCACGCCTGCGGCAAGATTTCTCGAGGCCGTTTGGTTCCGCTTCTTGTGCATCGAGCAGACCGGGGAGTTCCGATGCGGAGAGTGTGATGCGCACGTCGCAATCCGCTGCGCAGCAGTGACGAGCACGTTGCACGCGACGCGCGCAGGCGCCTGGTCCCACAAGACATCGCCGCGGCGCTCGAGGATCGCTTCAAAGGCGGCTGGCGCGACGGCCGACTGTGGCGCCAGCGTGCTCAGCCATGCCCTGCCCACGCCCCCGGGGTCCGCCGTTAGTGCGGTACTGTTTGGCGACACCGAGATGATGGAGTCCCAGGGGACAATGTCGGCCAACGGGAACGATGCACGCATGCCACCGCCACCGCCGCTTGCGTCGATCGGCACTGCGCCCGCCGCCAAGATGTCGTAGAGGCGGTTGGACGACGGGGTGTCGCCACGCAAGTGCCACGCGTACCGCGACTTTGTGATCAGCTCACGGTACTGCTCCGTAAGTTCGCGCGTGCTTTTGCACGCAACGCAGCCGGGTGGAGCTCGCCAGCAGCCAGGGCGGCAATCAGCGAGCCCAGTTGTTCCTATCGTGGCAAAGATGTCGATGTGCCCAGGATCCTGAGCCGCCGCCGCCGACATAAAGTTGAGCACGGCGACGCGATCTCGAAAGTTGGCTGCTTTTATCCGCTGAGCATCGGCCAACGTAGTTCCCATCGAGGCGCCAGTGCCGTTGTCCGCTCTGCCGATGAAGAAGGTGCGGATGGGCCGCTCTGCAAACGCCCGCCAGGAGAGAGCCTTGTCTGAGCCTGACCGTACCATCGGCACGATGATAGAACTCGCCTGGCCCACGTTTGGGTCGGCGTTGATCCTGCCCACCTTGGGGTCCGGAATTAAAAGCTTTACGCCCGCCGTGAGGCGCCCGCGTACCTTGAGCTTGTGCTGTCGAATCTTGAAGTCGGTGCCAAGCCAGAAGAGGCGGTCGGACCGTGGCTGCTCAGCCAGCAGCCGAAGCGCCTGTTGGAAAGTGCTGTTCAACTCCCGCTTGGTGAACTTGCTAGTGCGCTGCCCGCGAACGTCCCGCGGCACAGACAGCCTCGTCCAGATGAATCCTAATGGTAGGTCGAGTACCAGCACATCGGCGTGCAGTGGATCGGCGCGCCAATAGTCCATCGCGGGCGCACGTAGCGCTCGCAGCCAGTGTACTTCTGCCCCGTGTTTGTAGCGCGCGTAGGCGTCCAAGTCGTCGCGGCCAAACGCGGCGCTCAACTGCGAGAAGGTGGTCTGGGTTGCCTCTTGCAAGCCGACGATTGCGAATGTGGCGCAGCGGTTTTGGGACGGATCGGCTGACGATTGGCCGTTCGCCTTGCGAACAGAGGCGGCGGCGAAGGCGGAGAGGAAGAGCATCGTCCCCGCGAGTGGTAGATATCCCGTGAATAGGACGGCTCGCAGCTCCGGCTGGATTGTCGGCGACCTACAGCTCGCCGGGGGCTTCTCCGCCTCGCTCCGACTCCCTCCGACCGCCTTCTTAGGCGAGGCGCCGTCCTCACGGAGATGCATAAGAAAAAAGGTACGTTTCAAGTGCTCCAAATTTGTGGCGGCGCGGAGGGCTTGTCACTTGTGTGTGTGGTTAAGATAAGGTAAGGTAAGGTAAATTTCTCCACACACACAAATCGGTGGGGCAAGGGGGGGCGACCCTCGCATCTCCACACCCGGACACGGGAGAGAGAGAGAGAGAGAATTCTTGATACGAAACCACGACGACACACACCAGTCGACTCGCATCGGTTGCCTCCATGAACGGCGGAGCTATTCTCGCGCCCACACCACACCTGGCTCCAACGTGGACACGCCCATAGCTGGGGACACTACTAGGTCACGCATGGCATCACAGAAGTTTTATCTCTGGGCCCCGAAAGGCATCTCTAGCAGTGTCGTTACACATGCCCCCTCCCCTCCTGGGCGCATGCGCCTCACGTCTCGCCAGAGCATAAGCCCTTGGCGTGTGGCGAGACGAGTTTTTCGCCATCGCAGCGACCAGCAAGCCGCCCGCCGCAAACAGCCGGAGGCCTCGCCGCGGCACTGGCTGCGCCGCGGTCCCGCACCCGTCGACGCAGCTCCCCCCGCGGAAGACCGCGCGTAGCAACGTCTTGACGATCGAGATGAGCGTGCCTCTCTCTCTCTCTCTCTCCGGACACGGGCAGGCAGGAGCCCCACGGCATTCAAAGTGCAAGCACTGGCCCGGTGCCGTGGGTGAGCAACCTGCACCCCACTCCCTCCCTCCCAGACACAACCCGCACACAACCCCCACGTCTACGTGTTCAGAAACACCAATGTCGTTGTGATGGCGGCGGACTCGAGGGGCCGATGTCTTTCTTTCTTTTTTTGAGAGCGCCTTGGTTGTTAATTCTTTCTTTCGAGGGAGTTTTGTTATAAAATTCTTGCTTTTGTTAATTCTTTCTTTTAGAGGACGCCGGTGTGTGTGAGAGAGAGATTTTGTGTTTGAGAGAGAGAGAGAGAGAGAGAGATTTTTAGCAATACCAAACAACTCTAACACTCACACGTCATTTGGGGCTTGGAGCCCTGTTCACGCGCGCGCGAGACGTGCAGACAGGGTTTGTTGTTCCGGTGTGTGTGTGTGTGTCGCGCATGCCGCGCGCCACTCGCCGCGGCTTGCAGTACACCGCGCCACTGCAGCCTCGCGAACGTCGCGCACAGATCCAGGAGGCTGCCCACCAAGCAGCAGAGTGCTGCACCGGCTTGCAGCGGATGCTGTGTGGCCCACTTCCGAAAGGAAGCACCAGATGCACCTTCAGCACACGCAGCTTTGCGCAGCGCAGCGCACGGGCCACGCCACGCAAAGCCGACCCTCAGTCTGCCCGAGAGGCTGTCTGCGGAAGGCCTGGCAAGCGCGCGCCCGCCACCTCCGCGGCCATGCCCTCCGCCCGGGCGAGCGAGCAACAAAGAGTGGAGGCGGATCGCCATAAATAAATAAATAGAGCAGTCATCTCCCGTAGAGAATGGATGGGGATACATAGCTCACCAGGGTTTCCGTTTCTTTTTTTCGCGAGTGCGAGCCCACGACCGGGCGCGTGTCGGTTGGCGCTCGTCGTTCTTCGCTCGACCAGTCGCCACTCCGAGGCCGCCGCCTGGAGCTTCGCCAGGCGCAGGTGGCTGTCCGCCCGCCGCGCGCCTTCCCGCTGCCTCGTGTCCGTCTGCGTGCGCCGCACAGCGCTTACGCCTCGTGTGCGGCACGCGCGAGCAGCCACCCGGCGCCGCTTGCAGGCGCATCGCTGGCGCGATGGGGAAGAAGGACAAGGAGACCAAGGAGGAGGGTCAGCTGACGCGGATCGCCATCGTCAATGCCGAGAAGTGCAAGCCCTCCAAGTGCCGCCAGGAGTGCAAAAAGTCGTGCCCCGTCGTGCGGATGGGCAAGTTTTGCATCGAGGTCGGCCCAAAGGACAAGATCGCGTTCCTGTCGGAGGAGCTGTGCATCGGCTGCGGCATCTGCGTCAAGAAGTGCCCGTTCGAGGCCATCCAGATCATCAACCTCCCGAAGAATCTCAACTCCAACACGACGCACCGCTACTCTGCAAACTCTTTCAAGCTGCATCGGCTGCCGATGCCGCGAGCGGGGCAGGTGCTTGGGCTGGTCGGCACCAACGGCATCGGCAAGTCGACCGCGCTCAAGATCCTCGCTGGCAAGCAGAAGCCAAACCTCGGCCGCTTCGACGCTCCGCCCGAGTGGCAGGAGATTCTGGCGCACTTTCGCGGCTCGGAGCTGCAAAACTACTTCACGCGCATCCTCGAGGACGACATGAAGGCGATCATCAAGCCGCAGTACGTCGACCACATCCCGCGCGCGGTCAAGGGCAAGGTTGGCGACATCATCAAGCGGAAGGATGAGCGAGACGCGCTGGAGGAGGCGCTCGCCGCCCGTTCGGACCTGCGTGCACAAGGAGTGGCGCGTCCGAGGGAGCGCCACCCACCGCGATGTCACCGCAACCACAGGCGCTCGACTTTCTCGACCTGCGAAACGTGCTCGAGCGGAACGTGGAGGCGTCGCCACCTCGCCGAGAGATCGCCGAGAGCGGCGCGTCGCACCACCCCTCCACGGCCTCGGAGCTGACCCCTCGGCTGGGTGCGCGCCAGGACCTCTCGGGAGGCGAGCTGCAGCGGTTCGCCATCGCCATCGTCCTCGTCCAGCAGGCGGCCGCCTGCCTCGGCCGACGCGCCGCCCCCGAGAGTTGGTCGGGGTCATCGTTGACGGCCGTCCATCAGGCCGACGTCTACATGTTTGACGAGCCCTCCTCGTACTTGGACGTGCGTGCAGCGGCTCACGCAGTGCGACACGTCCGCGACACGTCCGTGACATGTCCGAGACACGTCCCATCCGTAGGTGATGCAGCGGCTGAAGGCGGGACACGTCCGCGACACGTCCGTGACATGTCCGAGACACGTCCCATCCGTAGGTGATGCAGCGGCTGAAGGCGGCGCGCGCCATCCGGTCCCTCCTCACGATCCAGACGTGCGTCCTCGCCGAGAGAAGGGGAGATAGCCGAGGGTAGCTCGACCACTCTCCAGCCGCCCTCGCCGAGAGACAGCCGAGAGACAGCCGAGAGACCGCCGAGAGACCGCCGAGAGACGGCCGAGAGACAGCCGAGAGACAGCCGAGAGACAGCCGAGAGATAGCCGAGAGACAGCCGAGAGACAGCCGAGAGATAGCCGAGAGACCGCCCAGGGTAGCTCCTCCGCTATCCAGCCGTCCTCGTGGAGGCTGCTGGCAGCTGTGTGCTGGCTCTCCCATCACAGCTCTCTCGCCCAGGTCCGTCACGATGGTGGAGCACGGCCTCTGAGTTCGTTGGTTACTCCCTCGAGTGCGTCACTCCATAGGTACGTCATCGTGGTGGAGCACGACCTGTCCGTCCTCGACTACCTCTCCGACTTCATCTGCTGCCTGTACGGCGAGCTTGCTCTAGTGTCGGCACATAGCCGCGTGGACGCCTGCAAGCCCTCACACACCGGGGGTCCAAGACGCCGCGACACGCCGCTATCTCGTCACGTGTGTCACTCTTCTCCACCGCGACTACTGCGCGCCGCTGAGCGGCAGCACTGTCGGCTGTCATGGCCCGTGCAGCCTTGTGGGACCGGCTGCCACGTCGTGCCACCCTCGCGGACTCTCACTAGGCACCCCCCCCTATCTCCCCCCTATCCCCCCATATCTCCCCATATCTCGTGCACCCTCGCGTACTCTCGCGAGGCATCCCCTACCCCTCCCGGTGCCGAACCCACCCCACTCTCACTCTCACCACGCACCCCCGGCGACTCTCCCCCACTCTCCACGCCTCTCCCCCACCAGGCATCCCCGGCGCGTACGGCGTGGTGACGATGCCGTTTGGCGTGCGCGAGGGGATCAACATCTTCCTCGGCGGCTTCATCCCCACCGAGAACTTGCGCTTCCGGGACGACGCCCTCACCTTCAAGGTCGGGGGAGAGGAGGGGAGAGTGGGGGAGAGGGGGGGAGAGTGGGGGAGAGTGGGGGAGAGTGGGGGAGAGTGGGGGAGACTAGCCCGAGCTGCCACCTTGCGCCCGTTCATGGCCGACTTGATTGCGACGACGCCCTCGCCTTTCGAGGGGTCGGGCGCCATCTCCCCATATCTCCCCACATCTCCCCATATCTCCCCATATCTCGCCTTTCGAGGGGTCGGGCGCCATCTCCCCATATCTCCCCATATCTCCCCATATCTCCCCATATCTCCCCATATCTCGCCTTTCGAGGGGTCGTCTTGGCACAGACACCGCAGTGAGTCACTCGGCATCGCTGGGGGCGGGTCTCGCAGCTGCGATCGTGTGTGTGCGGGAGCTGGTTTGTCGGGAGGGGAGGGGCAGGCTGCTCACCCGCGCGCACCGGGCCTCCCACTCTGAATGCGCCGCGCCGGCTCCTGCCCGTGTCCTGGCGCGGAAGGATGCGAGGGTTGCCCCGGCCCTTGCCCCACCACCCCTCGTGTGTGTGGAGAAGTGTGTGTGGAGAAGTGTACGCCGCCTTGCCTCGCCCCAGGTGTCGGAGAACGCGGAGCAGGAGGGCGGCAAGGAAGGGCGCGGCGCGGGCGAGTGCAGCTACCCGGCCATGACAAAGACGCTCGGCGCGTTCACGCTGCACGTCGAGGCGGGCTCCTTCTCACGCTCCGAGATCTCCCCGTCCCTCCCCGTCCCTCCCCGTACCTCCCCGCACCTCCCCGCACCTCACTCTCGCTCCACCAGGCGGGCTCCTTCTCCGGCTCTGAGATTCTGGTCATGCTCGGCGAGAACGGCACCGGCAAGACGACATTCATCAAGATGCTGGCCGGCCACCTCGCCCCCGACGGAGAGGCGGCGTCGCAGGCGCATCTCCCCGCGTCTCCCCGCATCTCCCCGCGTCTCCCCGCGCCCCTTCGCGTCTCTTCGCGTCTCTTCGCGTCTCTTCGCGTCTCTTCGCGTCTCCCGACGGAGAGGCGGCGTGGGCAGGTGCCCAAGCTGAACGTGTCGTACAAGCCGCAGAAGATCGCGCCCTCCTTCGACGGCACGGTGCGCGAGCTGCTGCACAAGAAGATCCGCGAGGCCTTCATCCACCCGCAGTTCAACACGGACGTGATGAAGCCGATGCTCATCGAGCGGTTGCTCGACCAGGAGGTGGGTGGAGCCGCCGCCCCCCCCCCCCCCCCACCCCCGCCGCGGGCGGAGAGCTGTGAAGGTCGGCCCCTTCTGAGTCCCCTCCTCACACCGAGTGGCGCGTCACGGACAGGTCAAGTACCTCTCGGGCGGGTGTTTC